TGCTGCAATGTGCCTTTAGACAATCTCTCTTTCCCCTACTGAGCCTGAGGCCTTGTAACCGTCATGAATTAGTGTTACAAGTATTCCGTTTTGTTCCAGCCTCAGTACGTGGAACCTCGCCTAGTGTTCAGTTTCTGCCAGCTACAAATAAACCAGTGTAAATACTATTGACTACTCCACATAAAACCAGGATTCCAGATCCCAGGGAGCCAGAGGAACACACCAGCTTTTACCTTGTAAATACTCTGAAGACGGAGGCAATTTTGTTAGGTTAATTCAGACCGGGTTTCATTGGTAGGAGAAGCCTCTTGCAATAGGTTTCTTCTTCTGAAAATGGTGGCGCTTGGGGAAACCCTTGTCCTTCCCGATCCAAGCTACACAAATGGAACGCTTGGGGAAACCCTTCTCCTTCCAGATCCAAGCTACACAAATGGAACGCTGGATTAAATCAAAAAATGCAGGCTCAGGCGGAGCCCATTAATTTTCTACACAACCATGACATGGGGTTAGGATATCTTCCTCCAACTCTACTAATTTCCATGTTAAATCCAAAAATCTAGCCAATTGAAAGTTAAGGAGAGCATTGCCACCACCCCATAAAGCTGTAGGTCTCACCACATGCACAAAACAAATCTACAGGGCTAGTTTCTGAACTCCTGTTTTAAAGTATTTATTTTTACACCTATTATACCACATGTTTTAAACACCAACATATAACTCCCTAATAAGATAAAGCACACAGAAAAGTTTACCTTATTAGAAACAAGATACACTATCATTTATAATCTTCAAACATTATTGCACTTGGAACTTTCGTAATCTGACAAAGCATCCATGAAACAATCTGCAGACTAGCTTAACAGACAAATAACACTTTTAAGCAGACATGACTGTCCTAAATTGTTTATTAGGTATGAAGTTTACAAACATTTCTTAGATTAGCGGTAACGGTGGAGCTGGAGAGTATTGCGCCTTCTCCAAGCTGCACGGCGAGAGCCACCAATAGTGTGGTGGAACTTGTGGCCCTTTCCAAGGCCTCGGCTCTTGCGGCCTGCGGATGTCAGCCCACGCATCTCCCTGTGCTTGTGGACTGGCTTGGTAATCCACTGGGTGTCAGGGTTTCTTCTGATAGCTTTATGGAATGGATCAATGAGGATAACCTCGAAGAATTTGTATGTGGAATCTTCACCCACCCAGTAAGAATTCAGGACTCTGAGAGCCCCACAGTGGCGTCCAGCTCGCTCCTAGAGAGGAAAAAAAGGTTCCACGTCAGCCTCCTACCGTTGCCTACAGGAGCAAAGTAGAAGTAGTTTTCTGAATTCAAGTTCAGCACTAAACAAAGAGATGGTTTGTCCCCTTAACTATGCAAATATTTACTAAGTATCTAGTGAAGGCCAACATGATATGGGATAAGGTAGATTTGGTAAAGTAACAGGTTTAGGTTGAAATCTAATCATTTTCTTATTATCTCCTGCCTGACAAAGGCATCAATGTTAACATCTAAAAGTTAAAACTTCAAAATCCTGTCTTTTTCTCATATAACTGAATCATTAGCAAACCTTTTATAAGTTTTAAAAGTATTTAGTATATATTTTAGACTTTACAGGCCATATTTGGTCTCTTCTATAGATTCTTTGCTGTATTTAAAAAACAAATTTTAGCTCAGGGAAGAAGTTGCACCCTATTTGCCCACCCTCACATCAAAGCACAACTCACAAAAATCTTTTGACTACAGAAAATCAGGAAAATAAATGGGGGGCTGGCAGTTGGTGTGGTGGTTAAAGGTACTAGACTCCCACATGACTGACTATGGTTTGAGTCCTAGACCTGGTGACTCGCTTTCCCTTTCTGTCTCTTCTCCGGCAAATTAAAAAAAAACAAGGAAAGGAGGGAGGGAGATGAAAAGCAAACGTAGCAGGGAAATGTGATCTAAGACAAAATCACTGCCCTTCAGGAACTTAGGTTCCACAAGTTCACACCAACCACGGAACGTTTTAGTAACAATGACCAAGTATAAGACTTTAACCCCATTTTGCAGACAATAAGGCATACCTATGTACAATGAGAAGCTGCTCAAATCCTTCTTTCCCACCCTCCCCCAAAAGGCAGTCCACTAACTGGTACTCAAAACCACTTACCTCTGCAACAGACTGGAGGCTCCGAGCAAACTTGAGCTGGTTAACGCCATGATGGACAGGCTTGCCATAGGTCGCACCCTTGGGGACTGGGCGTTTGCGGCCTCCACGCCGCACACGAATCCTGTATATCACATAACCTACACATACAAAAAAATTAGTGTGCGTGTCTTCTTTTATAGAAAGCCCTAAGACAATGCTCAATCACCTGTCAACATCAAAGATATTTCAGAACTCCTGCCATCCACCCTGTGATGGAAATTAAAGTCCCAGGTTATGAGACTCCAACCACGATCAGCCGCTATTTTTCAAGTCCTTTAGATGAATCACACAGGGAGGCATGATTGTTTACTTTTAGTCCAAACTCCTACAGATTTGTCATCTTTGACACACTCGCACCATCAGACAATAACGTACACAGCTATGATGAGCTAACCCACCGCGTGCATAACTGGCACTATCCTGCCAAAGCCCACGCGAAGGGAGACACCGTAACCCACGCAGGGACCACGCACCTTGCTTCGCCTTGTAGCCCAGTCTGCGCGCTTTATCCGGCCGGGTGGGGCGGGGCGCCCGGTGCAGCGCCGAGAGCTGGCGGTACTGCCAGCAGCGGACCCGCAGGAGAAAGCGCATCACGTCGGACTGCTTCTTCCGCCACAGCTCCTGGATGTACTTGTACGCGCCCATCTTGGCTTACCTTTGTGATCCAAGTGTGAGCGTTAAGAATATCCGTCTCAAGGACCGAGTAACGACAAGATCCCATCCATCTTGGTTCCTTACGAACCACAAGGAAACCGCCGACAATGCAAATGGCTCTGCACCCGCTGCAGGGGACAGCTAACCCGGCGCCCACCTCGGCGCCCACGGCGCGCTGCGCGGAGCTAATTAATTCTGCACCCCCGCACACGTGCTGGGCGAACGGACGCAGGTGCTCTCGGGACACCGAGGGGCAGGTGCGGTGCTACGGCCACAGCGGCCCGAGCTGCGGATGCCTCCCCAAGGCGCGGGTCCCGCCGCCGAGGCTCACCTCTTCCCCGTAAGGGCACTTACTCCACCCCAGAGCCGGCCTCGCTCCAGGCCGCCGTAGGCCCGGCCTCCCAGTCCCCAGCCCCACGCCTCCTTTAGGCTCCGGGCCCAGGTCGAATTCGCGCCGCCATCACATCTTCCCCCATCCCGTCCCGGGGACCGCCTCTCCACGCCCTCGCTGCCCGGCATCCTGACGGAACTCTCGCCGCACAGAAGGCAGGGCGAGGTCCCAGAACGCAGGGTCCCCGAATCTGGATGCCTCAGATAGAGGGCGATGAGGGACGGATGGAGGGGCGATGAGGCCCACTACTGCCTACCTGATGGCTGCCGCCAGACGGAAAGGAAAGAGCCTTTCTCCCACAATTCCTTTTGGGCTCCTCCCCCACGTCCGCGAGCCTACTTCCGGTGCAACCCCGCGGCCACCCAGAGCCTTATGGGACATGTAGTTCGGGCCGCGAGCTTGGTGGGCGGAGCTCTGCCGAGCTCGGACACAACCTCCCCTGTGATCCCGCCCCTGCTCTGCAGGATGCGCGTGCGAGAGGCTCGGGCGACCGCGCGGCTGGGAGCTGGCGAGGTCCCTGGCTAGCGAGGGAGCCGGTGGCCGCCACCCGCGGTGGAGCCGCGCCGCTGTCCCCGGGTCTGCTGGACTGCACAGGAACTGAGCAGGTATGTGTCACGCACCCCGGATCCTCGGACCCGATGAGTCGCTGCGGGTTCCCGCAAGCGGCGCTGTCCCCTATAGCGCGTCCTCAGGACGGGCGCAGACACCTGGGTCCCTACGCGGCAGTGGCAGACCCCCCGCGCTGCCTAATCCCTGGGGAGGGCCTTAGTGGAGCGTGGGCTTCGGGGCTCGCACAGTGCGCGCCTTTCGCTCTGGTCTGCCTGGGACCCCCGCAGGGCCCGACTCCGAGAGATTTTGCCCTAAAAAAGGATCGGACCCGGGGTGGATGCGGGCAGCTTGGCGCCTTTCATTTCTTGCATTTTTTCCTGCATAGGGATTTGGTTCCAAATTTACTAACGTCATAACCAGTTTTCTAGAAAATCCAGTATTGAGCTACCAAGACCTGTCTGGCAGGTGCGAATGTTTCGAGAAGCAGCGCCGAGAAAATGCTGGCATTTTTGCATTGTATTCTTTATTGAAAAACATTATAGTTCACCGGCCGTTTTGAGCCTCCAGCGTATTTCCATTTTTGATACAGTGATGTGGTTTTAATTTCCTTCCAAATTCTACGTGTAAATGTGGCCAGGGTTTAGAAGATCATATTTACTTTGTGAATCACTAGCGATTTAAAAAAAAAAATCACGGCTTTGCCATCTTAAGACCTCTCTGACGTTCGTTGTTTCATTCAGTAAATATTTGTTAAGTACCTGATCCGTGCTGGGCACTGTCCTAACTGCTGGAGCTGCAGCAGCGAATAACGCAGAAAGAAGTCCAGTCTTCCGGCAAACGGGTGCAGTACACAATAAGGTATGTAGGTTTTTGTGTGCCGAGGTTAAGGATCAGAAATAAACCCAAACCTTATGGGAAAGGGTGGGGAGTCCTGGCGTGGTGCTTCCAACCTTGGATGGCCTGTTCAGGGTAAGTCTTCTTGAGAAGGTAACCTGTAAGGAAAGACTTCAAAGATGAGAACGTGGGGGCAGGGGCTGATTCCGCAGAGGGAAGCGTGCCAGGATTAATGGAACAGTGGGAACCACAAGGGAGCAAGCCATGTGGCTGGAACCAACCCTAGGGAGAAGTAGGAAATGTCAGAGAGGTGCCAGTTCTCCTGTGGACTTCCAATCTCAAACCGCCTGAGATTGGAAACCCTGGGAAGGTTTTGGGCAGAAGGGTGACTTCACATAACTTTGCATTTTAAAAGCACCACTTAGTTTGCTGCTCTGACGCTAGAAGGACAGAGAATAAAGGCGGAAGCCCGGAGACTAGCTAGGAGGTTTCGCCACTTTCCCGCTGCTACCATAACACATTGTTCTATTTATTGACTTACAGCACAAATCTATTGTAGTCCATAGACCAGAAATCTCATCAGGCCTGTGTCCCTCCTGGAAGGACCAGAGTAGTATACACTTGCCTTTTTCTGCTTCCACAACTGCCTGTATTCGTTAGCTCCTAACCATGTCTCCAAATTGCTTTCTCCCGACACTCCTGTGCTCCTCTTACAAAGACACTTGTGGTGGGACCAGCAGGTGGCGTAATGGTTACGTCGCTGGACTGTCACGTAGTGGAGTGCAGTTCAAGTCCAGGATCCAGGGGCTTGGAACATCAGCCCCGGCGTGTGTGCATGTGTGCGTGCGTGCCCAAGATCCTGAGAGGACAATGGGGGAGGAGGGATTGCAGTGTGAGTATCCCCCCTGGGGGGTGATTTCTCGCTTTCTGTCTCTCTGTCTCTCTGGTGATGGTGAGCACATGCACCCAATAGCAAAAAAAACGGCACTTGTGATTACCTTGACTCCACCCAAGATAACCTCCTCATGTCGAGGTTCACCTACAAAATTCCTTTTACTTTGTTAGGTAATACGCACCAGTTGTTAAAGATTACAATATGGGGACCAGCATATGGCATAATGGTTATGTTGTTGGACTCCCACGTAGTCGACAGCAGTTTGACTCCCTGACTCGGGCCTTGAAACTCATGCTGGGCACGTGTGCACATGCTCAAAATCTGGAGAGGAGAATGGAGGGGATGGCCATGCCGCAATCCCTTCTCTGCTCTTCTCTTGGGCTTTTTGGCACGCATGTACATGTGCCCGGCGTGAGTTTTAAGCTGCTGGGTTCAGGACTCAAACCACAGTCCACTACGTGGGAGTCCAGCAATGTAACCGTTATGCCACCCGCTGACCCCCAAATGCTTATTTTTTATTATTGCCAGAAAGAGAAAGCCAGAGAGGATGTATGTGAGTGCACACATGCTCCTCCGACGAGGCCTGGTCAATGCCGCCATCCTTTTCTCCTCCACTTTTTCATCCCGCCAGGATTCTGGGCAGGCTTGCATGTGCCCTATATATTTTTTTTTTCTTTTTATTTTTGAGAGATTTTCACTGTAGGGTGCGTGCGCTCGCCAGACAGACAGAGAGAGACATAGAGACAGAAAGTGAGAAATCACCCCCCAGGGGGGATGGTCACGCCGCAATCCCTTCTCCTCCATTCTCCTCTCGGGATCTTGGGCATGCACGCACACGTGCCCGGCGTGAGTTTTAAGCCACCGGATCCGGGACACGAACCGTGGTCGACTACGTGGGAGTCCAGCGACATAGCCATTACGCTAACTGCTGGTTCCCACCCTATATGTTTTTCAAGGTCCAGGGCCAGGATTCAAACTGCAGTGGGCCACATGGTCCCCTGTCCACGCTGCACTGTGGGGCCAGCCTATCAGCATGCTTATTTGAACTTCATTATGGTTGTTGCGAGGAGCATGGTCTCCCGTTCAGTCCGGGTGATGGCATGTTTGCTTCTAGATAAGAAGAGGGAAGATGGGACCAGCAGTTAGCGTAATGGCTATGTCGCTGAACTCCCATGTAGTTGACTGCGGTTTGAATCCTGGACCCGGTGGTTTAAGACTCATGCTGGACATGAATTTTAAGCCACCAGTCCAGGACTCAAACCACAGTCAACTATGTGGGAGTCCACAATGTTAGCAGTACGCCATCTAGTGGTCCCAGGGGTAATGTTTTTAGTGTTGTCTGTTCTCCCTCAAAAGGCGCTGTGACAGAGAGCCCATGTGACTACCCAAACTCATTTTTCACCCTCGTAAGACTTACAGTAGCATTAATAACATGAATGTTTCTTAAAAAATCATGTCTAGGGACCAGCAGCTGGAGTCATGGCTGCGTTGCTGGACTCCCATGTAGTCGACTGCGGTTTGAGTCCTGGACCCGGTGGCTTAAACTCACGCTGGGCGTGTATGTGTGCGTGCCCAAGATCCTGAGAGGAGAATGGAGAAGGGATTGTGGCATGGCCATCCCCCCCCTCGGGGGTGATTTCTCACTTTCTATGTCTCTCTCTCTCTCTTTCTGGCGAGCACATGTGCCCTATAGCTAAAGCCTCTTAAATGTCTATTCCCTATCCAAAAATATATTCATGCTTCCTTAAAGTTTTACTTCTTTCTTTTTTTCAGGTAAATCTAAGATGCTGCTGGATTCATATAGATTTAATATTGAAAAACTTTTTGTGTAAAATGTGTTTATTCTTCTTGAAAACAAATGTTTTCCAAGTATTCTTTTAGATTGTTCCTGAAAGGTTGATATATAGCCTCTCTCTGGTCAAATTAAATGAACAAAAACTAAATAATTCTTTCAAAAAAAAAAAAAAAAAAAAAAAGAACAAACTTGGTAACACCGATCCTTCTTAAAAGGAAATGGAAGATAAGATTAAGGAATGGGGTTTGGAAGACTATACCTTACTGGGTATGTCTTTCGTTATATTGGAATGTCTTCTTGTGTATATATTACTGCTTCAATTTAAACATGAAAGAAAACAAAAGATTCATTTCAACAGTATATAGTTATTTTTTAAAGAATTATTTATTTAACTCTATTATTTTATTTATTTATTTATATTTGACCAGAGAGGGACAGAGAGAGAGAAAGTGAGAAAGCAAGACTGCCAGGTTCGGGACTCAAACCATAGTTGGCCATGTGGGAGTCCAGCGTCCTTAGCCACCACGCCATCTGCTGGTCCCCCAACAGTACAGAGTTCTAAAGACCTTCTGCTCTCTTCACAGTGGTATCCTGATAGAAGATGGGCAAGGGCTGCAAGGTCGTGGTCTGTGGCTTGTTATCTGTGGGGAAAACCGCCATTTTGGAGCAGCTCCTTTATGGGAACCATACTATTGGTAAGATTGCTTTTCTCTAGTTTCTCTTTAGGTTCTGGGAATTGCTAGGGTTAGTCTGTCGGCCATGATAAGGATGGGTGATGATATACAAATGCAGTGTATAACCCAGGACACCGAAAGTCCTCGAGGTCGGAGATCAAAGGGAAAAATAAAGGAGAGAAAGAAAACATCTTGGTGGGATGTAATTGAAGAGTGTTACTGAGACACCTGTCCGTGTTCTTCACTCTTACTCACCTTTTCTTTCAGGTAGCAGGTAAGAAAAGAGATGACTGAGATTCCTTTGTCTATGTGTGGCTTCCCTGTATTTCCGTAATGAACGTGAGTGTAGGGGACATTGAATTGCTGACTTAATACACTGAATGAGCTCTCTTACTTCACTGTCAATTTCCTTCCTTTCTTCTTCATTTTAATTTGACCAGAGAGGGACAGAGCATGAGAACGAGAATGAGAGAGGGAGGGAAAGTGAGAAGGCAAACCGCCAGGTCTGGGACGCAAACCATGGTCGACCATGTGGGAGTCCAGCACCCTTAACCATCATCCACCTGCCGGCCCCTGCTATATAGGTTTTAAAAGAGGAAGACAGAGCTGATCACTAAAGCGTGAGCTAATTTCGTTAATGGGATTACCTTGTCCATTCATTCATTATTAAATATTTCCCACATGACTCAGGCTGGGATGAGCCTTGTGGGGATACAGAGGTGAAGGAGGTCATTTAATAATGGAGTAGACATTGCGGGTGACAGTGAAAAGGGGTTTATGTTAGAAGGTGAGTAAATCTAGGCACCAGCAGGTGGCGTAATGGTTATGTCACTGGACTCCCACATGGGCCAAACGGTTTGAGTCCTGGACCCGGAGGCTTGAAACTCACCAGGCGAGTGTACATGTGTGCCCAAGATCCTGAGAGGAGAATGGAGAAGGGATTGTGACGTGGCCATCCCTCCTCGCTTTCCATCTCTTGGTCTCTGTCTCTCAGGTGAGCACGTGCACCCTATAGGCAAAAAATCTCTCTTAAAAAAAAGGGAAGTAAATCTAGATCATCAAACCATTTGTCTCTGGCAAGTGGCTTAGAGCACATCCCTGTCTTACTTTTTTTTTGAGAGGTTTTCGCTATAGGGCGCATGCACTCGCCAGAAAGATAGAGTGTGAAAGAGAGAGCCATAAAGTGAGAAATTCCCCCCCGGGGGGGATGGCCACACTGCAGTCTCTTCTCCATTCTCCTCTCGGGACCTTGGGCATGTATGCACAAGTGCCCGGCATTGAGTTTAAGCTGCCGGGTCCGGGACTCGAACAGCGGTCAACTACATGAGAATCCAGCGACATAGCCATTATGCTAACTGCTGGTCCTGAAATCCAGCTCTTAATGCACAGGGAGGGCTTAACTGCTACGCTATAGGGCAGCCCCATTTTTCATCTTGAAGAAGTAACACACAAATGGGAGTGTTACATGTGGCAACCTTGAGTCAGCTTTGAAAGGATAAGAAAATGCTGAACCACTGATACTGGCTTATCCCAAAAGAGTAATTTATTTTGAATCCCAGGAACAGAAGACTGTGGAACAATGGAAGATGTGTATATGGCTTCAGTGGAGACGGATCGGGGAGTGAAGGAACAGTTACATCTTTACGACACCAGAGGCCTGCAGGAAGGCGTGGAGCTGCCCAAGCATTACTTCTCATTCGCCGACGGCTTTGTTCTCGTGTACAGCGTGAATAACCTTGAATCTTTTCAAAGAGTGGAGCTTCTGAAGAAAGAAATTGATAAGTTCAAAGACAAAAAAGAGGTAAGTGTGTGCGTTAAAGATGTCAAAAGCTGAGTTATACTAATTCTTAAAGATATCATGGACTTTTGGGTAGTTTTAACTATTTAAAAACCTTTAAGGTGTATTCTTGGTATACTTTTTTTTCTTAGCCCAGAAAATACAGAAGTGACAGCGTTCAATCAGGACGGGCTTTCGGCGTTTTGCCTCGTTTATCATGATGTGCAAGTTGAATCTTTTTTTTTTTTTTTAGATTTATATATTTAACTTTATTTATTTTTTTCATTTGACTAGAGAAAGACAGAGTGAGAAAAAGGGAAAGAAAAAAAAAGTAAGCTGCCGTGTCCAGGACTTGAATCGTGGTCAGCCATGTGAGAGTCCAGCGCCTTAACCACCATGCCACCTGTTGGCCCCCTGCAAGTTGAATCTTAATGACTCTACATCTGAAGTATACATGCTGTTTGAGGTCACTTTCTTGGGACTTTTATTGTACTTGGCTAACCAGTATTTTTTTTTTTTTAATTTCTTCCCTTCTTTAATGAACAAGAGACACAAGACAGAGAGACTACAATCCCAACAGGGTCTTCAAACCATGACCCACCCCCAACTTCAAGCCCAGATCATGGGTACGTGTGTGCCTAGCATACTCGGGGGCACTCTGGACACGAACCTGGAACTTCCCCATGTGGGTCAGCAATACAGAACGTTTTTTATGTTTTCACCGTTGCACTGCCACTTAGCCCCTAAATAAGATTCTTGTCTTCAACCTTACAACGTAAGAAAGGAAAGGTGAAAGACAGACACACAGACAAGGAGGAATGAGGGAGGCAAGGGGAAGACCTGATAAGCCACGAAGAGATCCTACCCATTTAGCACTTGAAAATGCGACCCCCATGCTTAGCTGTAGCCCATGAAGACTAACATGACAGAGCCCAGGCCTGTGGTTTTCATCTTATCTCTGTCATTCTGCCCCCCCTCACCGTACTCCAGTGCCACTGGTCTACTTCCTGTTTGCCCACATCGATAACTTTGTTTTCCATAAATCCTTCTCAACTGCTGCTTCTCCTGCCTGGAGCTCTTCTGTCTCAGATCTTCACGTTTGACTCATCATCATCTAAGAAACCATACAATGTCCTGGTTAACAGCACTGGCAAAATGTTAACCTAGATGTTTGTATCTAGCATATGTCTTTAGTTTTTAGTTGTGGCTATGAGGTGTGGTGTGCACTCGCTAGGGAGGGAGGGAGGGACGAAGTGAGACATCGCCCTGCGGGATGGCCATGCCACAATCCCTCCTCCATTCTCCACTTGGGATTTTGGACGTGCACCCAGAACCGTGCAGCTGGCCATGTGGGATCCAGCACCCGAACCTCCACTTCGCCTGCTGGCCCACTGGCTCATTTTTATGCTAAACATTTTATTTTGAGGTAACTGTCGATTACAAGACCCAGCTCTGTGATGGGCTGCAATAAGGTAGCAGGGCTGGTAGGTGCAGTGGACCGATGGCACCAGCCTTTCGCGGGAGCTTTAGGGAAGGATGACATTGGATGAGGAGGGGACACCTGATGGCCGCCCCTTCCCTTTTAATGGTAGTGGCACGCAGGGAGCGCTGTGACGACAGGGAAAAGGACTGCAGGGCTGAACCAGGATTCAGCAAGGCTGGAAGGAGGAGGGAACACCCAAAGCCGAGGTGGGGATGAAGCAGGGCATTTGCCAAATTCTGGGGGCAAAGTAAAAGAGTTGCTCTAGGTGGGGGAAGGTGGAGGTTAGACTCAACTACGTACCAAGAAGTGAAGATCTGCAGGTGAAGAATGACTGGAGCGATTGGGGGAGACGGCTCTCGCTGGGAGGTGGAGAAATACGCAGTTTATCCAGAAAACCAGAGCTTTGGGGCCCGGTGGATCCCGCCAGGCCTGGTCACACCTGGCGTCCAGGAGCTCAGCAGTGGCCGGTGCTGCTCCGCAGAGGCAGCCTCTGACCGTTCTGGGACCCTTCTGCGATAAGCCACCCTGTTTGCTTTAGTCACTGACAACCTGGGTGTTCTCTTCTCCACCCCCGCCCCCTCCCCAGGCTGTTCTGGTCACCTCTGAGCCTTGGTATACAGTAAGCATCCGTCTGAATGAATGAGAGGCTGCCTTTAGCACGAAAGGTCCTCGTTGGTCCACACGCTCGATGTGCTTAGCCCTAAGGAGGGTTCTCTAGGGCTGGGAGTAACTTGAACACAAAAGTCCTACTGTGTGGAACGCAGGGTACAGGCCTGTCGCAGCTCCAGGAGTTGCCCTGCTGTGTGAAGTACGGTTGTTACAAACCTTACAGACATCAGGTACAGCCAAACTGAAATGCAGACACGTTGAAACCCTTTCCTAGATGTTAATTTCCAAGACTACCTTCCTTCGAATCCCGACGTAAGAGTAACGTCACCTGTCGTTCATGGCCAGTTTCTTACAGCTAGCAACCGTGTGGAGCGTGTGCATTTTTTTTTAAAAGAAATATTTAATTTTATTTATTCATTCATTTATTTTAATTTGATCAGAGAGAGCGAGAGAGAGAGCGAGAGAGAGCGAGAGGGAAAGTGAGAAAGCAAGCCACCAGGTCTGGGACTCAAACCATGGTTGGCCATGTGGGAACGTCCAGCGACTTAACCACCACGCCACCTGCTGGCCCCGAGCATGTGCATTTTTAACAAAAATGCACTGAGGAAGGAGAAATGAGGTGACATCTTACTATCTTATTTGGGTCACACATCTAAGCCTCGACTTAATGAAGCAGACTGATCGAAGGAACAATTTTCCTTATTTCTCCATTCTGCCAAGAAACTGAGGTTGGCAAAACACTAGTACGATCTCTTTCAATCCATTTTCTTTAGGTCGCCATTGTCGTACTAGGAAACAAAATCGACCTTTCTGAGCAGAGACAAGTGGACGCGGAAGTGGCCCAGCAGTGGGCGAGAAGCGAGAAAGTGAGGCTGTGGGAGGTGACTGTCACAGACCGGAAAACCCTGATGGAGCCGTTCACCTTGTTAGCCAGCAAGCTCTCGCAGCCCCAGAGTAAATCGAGCTTCCCTTTACCCGGGAGGAAAAACAAAGGGACTTCCAGCTCCGAGAACTGACAAGTCAGTAATCCCACAATTGTTTGCTGGCTCGCGGCTGCACTGCAGTGTCTGGGAACATGGCGTGAGAGTACTGTTTAAAACGGGCCATCTGGACCCACCTGTGGTCCTTATGAAACCCGAGGAAGCAATTTAGTGCACTTTAGGTTATAAATAGACTAGTTAAGCTTACTGTGTTTGCTTGATGTGAAATAGTAGTTCTTGTTTGAAATCTGTCCCTGAAATTAGCACCTTCGTTATTTAAGTTGCACTAACCAAAACAGTGAAGTCCACATAGTGTGCAAATCCATTAGTGTGTAACTCCCCCAGCCTGTTCCAGAAGCTAGCCTATTTATTCTGTGTGACTTAGGAAAGTTTTTTTTTTTTTTTAAGTTTATAAAATGACTTTTTGCATATGTCTAGATTGGATCAAAAACTGAATAATTCGGGTACTAAGTAGACTCAGTTTTATCTTGTGAAGATTTTGCTAAAGAAATGTCAGCTTTGCTCAAATGATTATGTTTAGCATGATTTGGGGTAGTATAAGTAGGCTAATCACATTCAAAGGCCTTTTTAAAATTCAGCTGGGCCTCTGTTGATAAACTAAATATCGGAAGGCAAAACTCTTCCTCCTCTTGAAAAGCGGTTACATGGTTACAGTGAAGCTTCTGTCTTTCAGAAGGAATACTGAATCTTTGGAATTGTGTTCTAGAAGCTCAGCAGGTGCAATAACGTGGACCCTAAACACCTGAGCTACAGATGGTGGGCGAGCTGGACGTCTGAGTTTGCTGTGGTTCTCTGAAGATTTCAGCAAGATCTGAACACAGTGGCTGCCTCACATTTAGCAAGGTGACGGCCGGAGGACTAACGCTCAAAGTAGGATGCAGACTACTTACCGGTTTCAGCTGTGAAAGCAATTTATTATTTCAATGTGAATATGAAGTAAGCTATCGGGCATGTGAAATGCTACATGTTAAAACATCAAGTGAACTATAAAATCTTACAATGGAATACTTTTAAAAGTCGAGTGGCTCCATTCTTTGAATCAAGCCAAGAACTACTGCATAGGCATATAAAATATAATACGTAAATATCATAATGCCTTTTTTGGTTAAAAAAAAAATTCCCTCTCGGGTAGGGTGTGTGTGTGTGTGTGTGTGTGTGTATTTAATAAATAGGTGTATATATATATACCTATTTATTAGGGGTGTGTGTGTGTATATATATATATACACCTATTTATTAGGGGTGTGTGTGTGTGCATATATATACACATATATTATTAGATATATATACCTACCTATTAGATATATATTAGATATATATACCTACCTATTCTATATATAATATATATTATATATACACATACACACCTATTTATTAGGTATATATATCTATATATGTATATATATATATTTATTAAACAGGCATTACTTCTAGGTCGTTTTCAAAGCAAAGAGCTAAGCTCTCAGTTCTAGAAGGCAGACTCTGCACATTGCAACCGAAGGCGAGAGCGAGTCAATGAAGACAGGGCGTCAGGGGCTGTTTTTAATGTGGTTTATTAGCACAGTAACAAATGCAGACCGAAGTAGTCCACAACGTAGAACCATCCACTGAGCGACTTCTATTCCACGCTGACAGTTAACAGCTTAAGGTATTTCACTACAGGTTTGCACGAGTTCGGATCCAAACCTTTCACCTTGGTACAGTAAAGTAGATCGGCATATAAAATAAAATACGTTAGTGACTCATTTTCTGCATGGTGTCTTATAGCCACGTGTCCGTTTCATGTATCTGAGATGACAGTCTCTAAAAACTCTGTTAATTATCAACGTTTCCCTTCCAAGAAGGGAAAACAAATTCCAATTTTTTAGAAAAAAAAAAATGAAACAAAAAGTATGTCGTCTTGGAGGGATTTCACGTAAGCGGCCACGTGTGTAACCTGTTCGAAATTAAGCTGTGTGAAATTGACGGACACAGCAGCTGAACCCCATGTCTAAGTGTACGTTCTTTTCAGTACTGCGTCTCAGCTAATATGGCAGAACAGACAGTTTCAAAAGTTGCTATTACCAATTCCGTCTACTGTAGCAAGATACCTTAAGTTCCAACAACATCTTAGGAAATAAGACGGAATAATATCTGTTATAGAAATACCCTACTCTTTACCAACTCCCACCCTCCCCCGCCCCTTCAGAATCGTAAGCAGCTCTCTTCTGTGACAGACAGGTGACGCAAGCACTGTCCACACCCGCTTATGTCGCGTATCTCTTGGTCCACTGTCTGGCCATTCGGTCATGTTCCGCTCTGTTGGTCATGTACTGAGTGGCAATGCTTCCCACCAAAGGGTCAGCTGGAAGGAAAGAATTCGAACTTGAGCAAACCGGTCACTGACGGTCTGGGCAGAGTACGCGTGAGCAAATCCGTCTTTAAAACACCGCTCCACCAGGCCAGGGATTTCTCCCTCTCAACTTCAACAAACACAGCATGGAATAGAGGGGTGTGTGGGGTGGTTCTTACCAAAACAGAACGGCCTGGCTGTACCCCCAGTTCATCCCCTTTCTCTGGACTCTCCCCGACCCAGTCGGAGTTTCTTTGCTGGGCATCAGGGTGCTAAGTCCACGGAGACTGGAGCATGCAGTACTCCAGACCACAAAGCCCGCCCCACCGTGTCCAGGTGACCTTTAGCTCCACAGTACCGACTATGGCACCGTGGCACCGGGACGGCCCTGCGCTGCTAGGTGACACGAGTTGTCTACACTGCTTCTCTAGGGAGCTCGAAACCTGGGACTCCAGTTAAGTGCTGTGTTTCTCTGAAACTTAAGAACTTTAATAACTCAATTTATATTTGGTTTAGCTAGAAAAAAAATTTTTAGATTAATAAAAAGTGAAGTCCCAGCCAAATTACAATTCAGCCATCAGTGAGTATTCAGCAAATATCCCATTTTCGAAATTGAGTACTATTCCATAAGCACCCGCGGGCCGAGTGCTGGGAGCCCGGCAGCAGGGCAAGGTTGGGCAGGCAGAGGATGCGACAGTTAAAAGTATGCAAATGGCTTTCTGGGACTTATATGGAAGTAATGCAGCAGGGGGAGGGAAAAAAGGGGAAGAATAACTGAAAATGTAAAACCCGAGGGCGAATTTATCATCTAACAATGCCACTGCTTGCTGCATTTTTCAACTAAGGGGGACTGAACTTCTCTCGATTAAAACTTTCTTTGGAAAGCAAATTTTTGTCTTTGGAAAGCTCTAGAAAATCTTGGGTTTACGTGGAAAACAGTTATTTTTCAGGTGAGGAACAATGAAAGAACAAAATTGTTATCCTTACCAGGGTTGCAGTCTGTGAGGAGCGAGCAGATAGAAAGGAGGACCTTAGAAATGGTTAGTGCTGGGCTCCAGTTGTCTTTCAGGATGTCCAAGCAAATGACCCCTTGACTGTTAATGTTACAGTGATAGATTCTTGTCCGAAATGTGACCTGAAACAGCAAGGTGGTGTCAACGATGTTTATGCGCCACTTAAACGTTTTACGGAATAGTCAACTAAATAGCCCTAGTTCGTCGTCATGTTACTGTGTTAAATACGGTCCTCATAGTTCCAAGTTTCAGTCGTTAATTATTTGCTGACCTCTTGTGTTAGCTGGTAGTATTACAGGGTCTCAAAGTCAGCTTCAGAATCGTAAATACTGAGAGTCCGAAACGTTGATGTACACCATTCTGGGTACATAAAAACGAACAGCATTCTTAGCGAATGACTGTACACTCGAAAAGCTGCACGGAATTTGAACGTCCTTCACATTGGATCCTGCACAAATCCCGTCGACCCTCAATCAGAGTGTTCACTATATTAGAGTCTCCAGGGGTGTGGGGTGAGTATGGGACACCAGCCACAGCGGTAGATAAATCAATACAAGCCACGTGAGCATGGGTTTTGTTTGGTGTCCGAATTTCGATTTATGAGATAGACCGAAGCACACCAAAGTAAAAATTACCTGTAACTTTACCAATTAAAAAAACATGATGGGGGCCGGCAGGTGGCATGGTGGCTATGACACCAGATTCCCACATGGCTGGAATCCCCGTGTGCACATGTGCCCAAGATCCCAGAAGGAGAATGGAGGAAAAGGGATTGCAGCATGGTTCCCTTCTTGGGAGTGATTCTCTGTCTCTGTCTCTCTCCAGTGAGCACACGTGTCATACGGCAAAAACACCTTTAAAAAAAAATTAAAGGATCTGCTGGTGGTGTGGTGGTTAACGTGGCTGGATCCCACACGGAGACTGTGAGGTAGGAGTCCTGGGCCCAATGGCTTGAAAAAACATGCTAGTCCGTGTGTGTGCACGCCCAAAATCCAGAAAAAAGGACGGAGGATAAGGGATTGCAGCATGATCATTCCCCATGGGGAGGCGCGTTCTGATGAGTGCACTCACGCCTGGGAAATTTAAAAACAAGAAACAAAACCCACAATCACAAGTGTCTCCTCTCATGGAAGTTAATAAATGCGAGCATAACTCGGGACTTTTTTTTTTTCTTGGAGAGGTTTTTATAGGGCACGTGCGCTCGCCAGACAGACAGACAGAGACATAGAGACAGAAAGCGAGAAATCACCCCCCAGGGGGGATGGCCACACCACAATCCCTTCTCTTCCATTCTCCTCTCGGGATCTTGGGCACACACGCACATGTGCCCGGCGTGAGTTTAAGCCACCGGGTCCAGGACTTGAACCGTGGTTGACTACATGGGAGTTCAGCGACATAGCCATTACACTAACTCCGGGCCCCTCGGGGGACTGACTCTCTTACCTTTGGAGGCTTGAAGGGATACTCTGGTGTGAAAGTGATATCGAGGAAGAACACACCGCCCTCATACACGGACCCCGGAGGCCCGAGGATGGTGGACCGCCATTCGTAGATGTTATCGCCTTTGGGACCAGCGCTGCGAAGAGAGACGTGGACAGGTAAGAGGATGGTGACGGCACCCCGATGTTCCCAGCGCTTCGAGAAGTGGGGAACGATCACCTCTCTTCTCCCTTTTTGTTTCACGAGGGGCTTCGCTTCACAGAACGCATCTCTCAGACAGAACGAGAGGCAGAAGGGCGCAATGGCACCCGCGGCCGAGCGAGCTGGATGACAAACAAGCGAGACCCAGCCCGAGCCGACTGAATAAATGCCGACTTCTCGGGGTCCTCCAGCCTCTCCTTAACACCCAAGATCTAAACACTTCCTTTTAAGAATCATTTAACTTTACTTATTTATTCATTCATTTTTAATTTGACCAGAGAGACAGAAAAAAGTGAGAAAGCAAGCCACCAGGTCCAGGACTCAAACTGTGGTGAGCCATGTGGGAGTGTCCAGCGCCTTAACCACCACGCCGTCCACTGGTCCCCTAAATACTTTCTTAAAAAGGGAAATTCTTCTTGGTGTACAGAAGCTAGATTAGTGACAAGTGACTATTTTTTTTTTTAATAAAGGGGATGGCCTTTAAAAAACCAACTTTTATTCTTATTTATTTATTTTAATTTATTTTTGACCAGAGAGGGTCAGAAGGAGAGGGGAAAAGAGAGAAAGCAAGCCACCAGGTCTGGGACTTGAACCACGTTCGGCCACATGGGAGCCCAAGGCCCTTAACCACCACACCACCTGCCAGCGCCATGGCAGCAGTCTGCTTGGCCCACATGATGAACATTTTCAGCACAATACAAGCGTCGTTTTCTGACCCTGACGGGCTCCTCCTCGCTGTGTGTCATTATCTTACCCTCCCAGGCGTCTGAGAGGTGCCATACTTTCCCATTACGGATGGTACTGTGTAGGCGGGGGAGGGTAACGATGGCAGGTACCCAACGGCATGTCATCCAACTTTCCATTTTAAGACGTACTGAATTCTCTAAGTAGGTTCTTTAAATCCTGTAATGAGGATGTTTAAGCCAACCCGTTACCTGTTAAATCACCATAATGTGGCTACAGTAGCCTTTCCAAAGTGGGCTGCCTTGCAGCGCTCTGTGTTCACGTTGTCACAGCCAAGAGCGCACCCTGGCTCCTAAGACGACAACAGGCTACACCCGCCAGGTCTGCGACAGGTCTGCCGGATGACGAAACTGCCCGACTCTGCATTTCACAGTAAAGCACCCCGTCTTCAAGCAATACGTGACTGTAGATTAATGAACAAAGAAAGGCTCTACATCCAATTCTAAGATCTATGAAGAGCGTAATCTACCTGCGGAAACCAGTAAGTGGCACGCTCTGTCATGGAGAAGAGAAAAAAGACAAGCCTACGGGACATGGTCTTGGTTGTTATTTTAAAATACCTTCCCACAATATGGGTACAGCATGAGTAACAATAAATAAATACATGGCTTTCAGTTTATTAAAGAAATGGAGAGTTCAAGCGCCAGCCTGGGCACTCAGCGCTGTGACCCTGAGCAAGGCCACACCACCTACATCATAGGAAAGTCTTAATGGAAGTGCACGGCCAGGCGGTGGCGATGCACCTGGACCCACGAGGGAGAGGGCCTGGGCTTATGTCCCTGGGCTCCCCTGGGCTCCGGGCTGGCTGGAGGTGAAGACCCTGCTCCCCCCCACTGGGGGTGACAGCCTCTCGTGGAATAAAAAGATGACGACCAAACTGGAAAGCGCGCCTCTGCAGAACAGGAGCCCCCGTCCCCACGGTAAGAGGCAGTAATTACCATCGCTCCTCATTATCCCACTGGTTACCAGTTCAGTTCATCTCTCTCTGAGAGGCGCAGTCCTAAGAATATTAAAAACTTGTTTTAGACTACATGGACATGAACAGAGATCAGTTAATAGTGTGTATGTTATGAGGTCATATTTACTCCTGTTTTCTTTTTTTTTTTTTTGAGAGGTTTTTGCTATGGGTCACATGCACTCGCCAGAGAGACAGAGACAGAGAGAGAAACGGAAAGCATGAAATCACCCCCCGGGGGATGACCACACTACAATCCCTTCTCCATTCTTCTATCGAGATCTTGGGCACGTACACATGCCCAGCGTGAGTTTAAGCCACCGGGTCCAGGACTCGAACCGTGGTTGACTACATGGGAGTCTAGCAACATAGCCATTACACTAACTGCTGGTCCCCATTTTAATTTTTTCTTGAACTCCTCTGTTTTCAAAAAATGACTTCCTACTCTTACATGGCGCCCGATCATGATTTTCACAAGGCGGGTGGTCGGGGGAAGCTCTCAGCTCCCTCCCTCTACGAATACGCAGTCACCTCTCCAGTGAAAGGACGTACCCTACCGTTACTGCACCGCCTCATCTTCTGAGGCCTGAACCGGTCCCTGGCCATCACAGGCTCGCCTACCTGCTCAAACGAAGGCGAGGGCCAGCAGGTGCCAAGGTGGTTGGGATGGCAGACTTGGTTCTGGATTTGGTGGCTGGCTTTCTCGCCTCTCTGTCTCTCGCTCTCTTTCTCTCTCTCTTTCTCTGGTAAGCACACGTGCCCTATAGCAGATTAAAATAATAAAACCGAATAAAATAATTCTTAAAAAAAAAAAAATAAAGCACTCATATTGAAATCCTAACTCCCAATGTGACGGTATTAGGAGGTGGGGTCTTAAGAAGTTACATTTCCAAAGTGGTTAGAGGCTGGGCTTGATGGGCTGGTGGTTAAGGAAGCTGGGTCCCACATGGCCGACTGCACAGTTCCAATCCTGGCCCTGGTGGCTTGTTGAACTGCCAGGCACATGTGCGTGACTGTCTAACATTCTGACAGGGTAGAGAAATGGAAGACAAGGGACTGCGTGTGGCCATGCCCAAGAGGGGGATGCTTCTGCCCCTCTCTCCCCGGGGGACCAGCACATGTGCCCTCTGGCTACTGGAAAAATGAATGGCGGAGAGAGACTTGAGCCAGTGCACAGGAAGCACGTTCCATAACAAGAAAGCCAGGGCACAGGAAGCACGTTCCATAACAAGAAAGCCAGGGCACAGGAAGCACGTTCCATAACAAGAAAGCCAGGGCACAGGAAGCACGTTCCATAACAAGAAAGCCAGGGCACAGGAAGCACGTTCCATAACAAGAAAGCCAGGGCACAGGAAGCACGTTCCATAACAAGAAAGCCAGGGCACAGGAAGCACGTTCCATAACAAGAAAGCCAGGGCACAGGAAGCACGTTCCATAACAAGAAAGCCAGGGCACAGGAAGCACGTTCCATAACAAGAAAGCCAGGGCACAGGAAGCACGTTCCATAACAAGAAAGCCAGGGCACAGGAAGCACGTTCCATAACAAGAAAGCCAGGGCACAGGAAGCACGTTCCATAACAAGAAAGCCAGGGCACAGGAAGCACGTTCCATAACAAGAAAGCCAGGGCACAGGAAGCACGTTCCATAACAAGAAAGCCAGGGCACAGGAAGCACGTTCCATAACAAGAAAGCCAGGGCACAGGAAGCACGTTCCATAACAAGAAAGCCAGGGCACAGGAAGCACGTTCCATAACAAGAAAGCCAGGGCACAGGAAGCACGTTCCATAACAAGAAAGCCAGGGCACAGGAAGCACGTTCCATAACAAGAAAGCCAGGGCACAGGAAGCACGTTCCATAACAAGAAAGCCAGGGCACAGGAAGCACGTTCCATAACAAGAAAGCCAGGGCACAGGAAGCACGTTCCATAACAAGAAAGCCAGGGCACAGGAAGCACGTTCCATAACAAGAAAGCCAGGGCACAGGAAGCACGTTCCATAACAAGAAAGCCAGGGCACAGGAAGCACGTTCCATAACAAGAAAGCCAGGGCACAGGAAGCACGTTCCATAACAAGAAAGCCAGGGCACAGGAAGCACGTTCCATAACAAGAAAGCCAGGGCACAGGAAGCACGTTCCATAACAAGAAAGCCAGGGCACAGGAAGCACGTTCCATAACAAGAAAGCCAGGGCACAGGAAGCACGTTCCATAACAAGAAAGCCAGGGCACAGGAAGCACGTTCCATAACAAGAAAGCCAGGGCACAGGAAGCACGTTCCATAACAAGAAAGCCAGGGCACAGGAAGCACGTTCCATAACAAGAAAGCCAGGGCACAGGAAGCACGTTCCATAACAAGAAAGCCAGGGCACAGGAAGCACGTTCCATAACAAGAAAGCCAGGGCACAGGAAGCACGTTCCATAACAAGAAAGCCAGGGCACAGGAAGCACGTTCCATAACAAGAAAGCCAGGGCACAGGAAGCACGTTCCATAACAAGAAAGCCAGGGCACAGGAAGCACGTTCCATAACAAGAAAGCCAGGGCACAGGAAGCACGTTCCATAACAAGAAAGCCAGGGCACAGGAAGCACGTTCCATAACAAGAAAGCCAGGGCACAGGAAGCACGTTCCATAACAAGAAAGCCAGGGCACAGGAAGCACGTTCCATAACAAGAAAGCCAGGGCACAGGAAGCACGTTCCATAACAAGAAAGCCAGGGCACAGGAAGCACGTTCCATAACAAGAAAGCCAGGGCACAGGAAGCACGTTCCATAACAAGAAAGCCAGGGCACAGGAAGCACGTTCCATAACAAGAAAGCCAGGGCACAGGAAGCACGTTCCATAACAAGAAAGCCAGGGCACAGGAAGCACGTTCCATAACAAGAAAGCCAGGGCACAGGAAGCACGTTCCATAACAAGAAAGCCAGTGCACAGGAAGCACGTTACATAACAACAAAGAAAACTGTGCCACGCTTCCGCTAGCCTCACAAATGGAGAGTAAAGGTGGTTTGTGACAAGTAATGGCTAGGCGAAATAATGTTGAATTTAGTTGAAATTATAAAGTACAAACACAGGCCCTGGAGAAGATTCGGGGGGGGGGGGGGTC